ATATACATAAAACACGGCCTATAGAGTCTGATTTGTATCTCCAAATGTCCTTCGGTGTGGGTCTATCCTCTGGGCCCACCAGAGTCCCAACCTTGTAAGACGCTGTCTCTCAAGGCTCCCAGCATCCATCAATTACCAAAAGTTCCTTAGGTTGGGTTGGGATTTCTTACCCATTCCCCCATGTCTCTGATAAGATTTTGTCTGGTTTGAGCTTGTATAGGTCTTGTGCATGCTGTCACCATTGCTGTGAGTTCATATGACCAGCCGTCTAGAAGACTCTGTTTCCTTGTGGTCATCTAATCCCTCTGACTCTTATAGTCTTTCTGCCTCTTCTTCTGCAATGATCCCTGAGCCTTGGGAGGCAGAGGTTTGACTTTAAAAAAAAAAATTTAATTTATGTGTATATATGTGTGCCTGCCTGTCTGTATATGTACTATGTGCATGCAGTGCCTGCAGAGGCCAGAAGAGGGTGTTGGATTCCCTGTAACTGAAGTTCCAGGTAGTTATAAATTGCCATACGTGGGTGCTGGGAACCAAACTGGGTTCTCTGCAAGAGCAGCCTGTACCCTTAACTGCTGAGCCATCTCTTCACCTTCATTGTCTGCAACTGACCTCTGATCGTTCCGTTCCCTCACTGTCTTCTCAGTTAAACTGTATACAAGAATTAATATACTTTTTCATTATTTAAAGAATTGATCCAAAACAACAGAGTTGGTTCTCCTGGAAAACTTAATACTTCTGAACAACTAAGATAAAAAAGGAATATCTTAGCTGTCAAGAGGGGTTGATCTGCTGTGCCTGGTGGGCTCACATGCCTGTAATCCCAGCACTCTGCAGACTGAGGCAGGACTGTGAGTTTCAGGACAAACTGGGATACATGGTGAAGACCCTATCTCAAAAAACAAAGCCAGAAAACAGAAAACAAACAAAAAAGTGGAACTGATATCCCCTATAGGATATTTAGGGCCAAAGAATCACCCCCTAAACACACAGACCTGCGACACTGCTGTTTCCAGATCTCAGAGCTGTCCTATTTCCTTGTAAACTCTTGGCCTAACTGTGATGGGATACACTTCTATAAGGATTATAGCTACCAGGGAGAACACATGAATCAGAGGCAAGTCAGTAGAAGTGGGTATGAAGCTACATCGTTGGGGATAGCTTTTTCAAATGTTTTTGTTTAAATGCATCAGAAAGAGGCCCTAAAACAAGTGCCGAACAAAACACAGAGAAGCCAGCTTTGGGAAGGGGCCACTTGTTCATGAAGGCATATCTGGTCCTGGGGTCTTGGGTGCTGCTGCAGCTCTTGTTTCGTTTCCCTTGAACTCTCATAGGCAGAATTCCCGCCCTGTACACCCTCCATGAACCACTGCCTGGTCTCTTACATCTTCTGGTTTTTTTTTTTTGCTTGCCTTTTCAGATACTGACTACTGAAAATGACTCCTGGAGAGCACAAGGCCCTTCATCACCAGCCTGCAGAAATCTGTCTGTTGCCCGACATGAGGAAATCTTAGCTGATGCTGAGACACTAGCAGCTATCAGGCAGCCGATCTGATGCCTTAATTTTGCCTTCCCTAATGTCAGGGATGTAAGCTCCAACTCGGATGTGGCAGGTACAACTGCCGACAGAGCCCTCTGATAGACAGATGAGGTAAGACAGGCACAGTAGGGTGCATAGCACCCTTTCCCACAGGATTTGCGGTGCGCTTACGAGCATCTCAATGCTAGCAGGGCTGACAATGGCTGCTGAGTCAAGTCTCCTTCCACTAGAAATTTTTTTCTTCAACATTCACCCATTCTCTGTGTTTCCACGTCTAGACAGCAAGTTCTACCAATAAACCTATGGATGGGTATTTATTTTCTCTAATGTAGGAGCGTGAATTTAAGAAATGAATGGCAGTTCTAAGTGATGCTGCTAACTTCCACAGCTCTCTAAGGAGAGCCTGCACAGCTCTGATTCTGGGAACTGGCACTTAGCCCCAGCAGGAGAAATAAAGGTTAGGATATTGCAGAAGCACAGACACTGTCTCTTTTTTGATTTTGGGATGGGGTCCTGTACATGTTGTCCAGGTTGTTCTCAAACTTCTGGGCTCAAGCAATCCTCCTGCCTCAGCCTCTGGAGTTACAGGGACTATAGGTGTGTACCTGCATGTCATGTACACTTTGAAATAAGAATTCTGAGAAAAATGAGATGCTGGATTTTCTTTTTCTTTTTTTTAAATATTTTATTATTTTTATTTTATGTGTATGAGTGTATTGCCTGCATGTGTGTGAGTGCGCCCATGTCGTGCAATGCTGTGGAGATCAGAAGAGGGCTTTGGATTCCCCTGGAACTGGAGTTAAAGATGGAATGTAGCCACCATGTGGGTCCTGGGAATCAAACCCAGGTCTTCTGTAAGCGTATTCAGTGCTCTTAACCGCTGAGACATTGCTCCAGCCCCGAGATGCCAGATTTTCTTAGTATTCTAATAAGAATGCTTTTACTTAGGAAGCAATTAATTGTCTTGAATTAAAAATATATGAAGTTTACTTTGCTGGGAGTTTGGGGTGACCTGTGCTGGGAATCTGAGGGATGCGCTATGCTGGGCATTTTCACATCACAACTTCATAACCATGGGGAAGAGGTTTTAGTTCTTCTTTACAGAGGAACCAGCTCAGACAGAGAATTTAAATTACTTGCTTCGGTCACAGAGCTGGGATTCAAACCCATGTCAGTTCCTCTGTAACGTTTTTCCAAAGGAACAAAATACCGAAGAGCCACAGAGACATGTGGCGAACATAAAAACCTCATTTCAGCACTAAGACACAACACTAACACTGAGGATTCTTACTAAGAGGTTTAATGTAATGGTTACAGGTTTAGACATTAAAACAAACAAACAAACAAACAAACAAAAAACCCCATTAAAACCCTCACATATATACACAGAGTTAGAGGGCTGATGTTTTATGTTCTGTACAGGCCCTAACATGGTGAGGTATCTTCATGGATATGTTATTAGACTTTTTCATTTCTGATTAAAAACAATTTTAAGGGGGCAGGAGAGATGGGTCAGTGGTTAAGAGCATGCACTGCTCTTCCAGAGGACCTGCATTCCATTCCCAACACCCTTGTAAGGCGGCTCACAACTACCTGTAACTCCAGCTCTGGGGGATCAGATCCCCTCTTCTGGCCTCTGCAGGCACTGCACTCATGTGCACACACCCTCCCCCACATATCCACATAATTTGATAATAATATTTACAAACAATTTTAAGTAAAGAGTGCACTTTGTGGAGATATAAATGAAACTCTGACCTTATCAACGTTCATTCGTTTAAATGATGCTTGCAGAAGTTTAAAATTGTGAATATACTCATGTTCCAATTTTGCTTGAAACTTTACTTTCTTCAAACTAATACAGCCGGGGAAGAGCATGTCCATGAACTGGCAGTAGGCCGCGCCTAGATAGAGACAAGAGAAGACAGTCATGAGTCTGGCTGTATTGGGACTCAACAGAGAATTGCTGGGCAGGAAAACCGGCATGATTATAGGCACCATGACACACAGCAGAGCCCTCCTGGGCACGTGTGTTCCTTTTAGCACTTAGACCTCTGTGTCCACAGGGCTGGGTGTCAGGGGCTGTATCTTAGAGTACCACACTGCTACTTCCTGTCCAGGTCACTGCGTATGACGGCACACACCAGGTGCCATGACCAACACGCAGAGAGTCTCACGCACAGATGTCAAGGAAACCAGAGTAAGAATAACTCCCCTGAGCTTCTATCAGAGAAAAGAAACACATTTTCTTCTGTCCAGCTTGTGTCCTGATCCACATCATCGAAATGAACTTAAGAAAAAGAACAGGGCATTTAAACACGAGAGGAACACAGAAGTTCTCAAAACGTGTGTGTTGCGAAAATGCTTGTGCTGTTTTATATCCATCTTGCAAACTAACTGGGGTGGGAACTGCATCGCTAGTTTCCAAAGCAGCTGCATACCCGTCTCACTGCAGTCCGAGAGCAAGGGGGCTCTACAGTAACATGAAGGAAGACAGGGACAAGCTGAAACGTACAGGAGAGGAGTCAACACTGCATATGACAGGATGAAACATGACAGAAATGCTCAGAGACCCCTGAGGAAAAGGCCCTAGCAAAAGGCTCCTTAAAACATGATGGTTTCAGTTACAAAAGTCTCAGTAAGACCACACTGGCTTGGTTCTTTTTTACAATTATTTTATTTTATGTGTATGAGTGTTTTGCCTGCATGTAAGTGCACCACGTGCATGTCTGGCATGTGTAAAGGCCAGAAGAGGGCGTAAAATACTCTAGAACTGGAGTTAAGGATGGGTGTCAGCTGCCATGTGGGTGCTGGGAACCAAACCCAGGTCTTCTGGAAGAGTGGTCAGTGCTCTTAGCCACTGAGCCATCACTCCAGCTCCATTTGTCTGGTTCCTAACTTCTTAATAATAAATCCACTGACTTTAGCAAAAGCAGTTCAAAGTCAGAATGATTATTTGGCTTTTACAAGAGGAGCGCCTATATGATAAGAACGGAAATAGGAAGCCAGTTTTACGTTTTTTCTTTGCTTGCTGTCTCCAGATACTTTGCTGTTTCTATGACACATCATGATCAGTCTTTCTGGACCACCAGGGCCTCCCTCCCTCACTGTTTCCTATCAAGCCTTCTTGTCTTCCACATGGAGACTTCCCTTCAGCAGGAGGATACAGTCTACTTTTTGCCAAATCCTCTATCGAGACAGGAATCCCAGATAAGCGGGAACAAGGCATCAGGAATGTGAAGGTGGCAGAGAGGGAAATGCTGGGCTAACTCATACTTTGTAGGTAAGGCCATAAAGTGATGAAATGTAGGCTGTAATAAAATCTCCAGTCACTGAGTCTGGCTTCCCCCAAGATGCCCTGAATTGGAGGTTTCTTCTCAAACAGATGGCTTCTCTTAAAAACAAGACGGAGCATAAGAAACCCAAACACTGGGGAGGAAAGAGAAACATCAGGATGGAGGGGCATTCAGTGATCCCGTCCTCCTTTTCAAAGTGCCACCAGATGGAGTAAATCCCAACAGTCACTGCCACATAATCCCACAGGTGGGGATGTGAAATTGTGACCTCTGACTGCTCTGCAAAGTGACGTAGGCACTCTTAGAGTTTAGCACTAAATTTACCTCTGGAGAACCACGTTTTATATTTTCATGAACCAACTGGCCAAATCATTTACTTTCCAAATTTTAAAAGAAGTAACACCCTTCAGAACAAAAAAGCCAATACAGGGAGGGAGAAAAAGTTATCTCTAATATCTACCATCCAAGAAGTAAGGCCTGTTATATATATCAGATCAAGAAATGTGTGTCTAGGTAAGGTTTATCTGAGAACAATTGGTCTTTGCCCAAGATTTATCTACATGACACACAGTAATTAAAAGTTCCAGACTGGTAGAACTAACCTTCTTGAATGTTTAACAGACATACTTTGAGGCCTATACTAATTGTGTCAGAGGGACATAAAGGACAGTTTTTGCTCCTTGCCCTCCTAGGTTGACTAGTTCCAGGGGACTACGAGCATCTCTCAAAATGTCCTGTAATTGTGGTAGGTCACCTGTCCTCTTGATCAAGGAGTCCGAGGAGACCCCACCAGATGGACTTGAACCAGTGTCCAGTCTACAAAGAGGAGGGTCAA